ACTCATGCTCAAGCCTATCTTTAAACTTAAGTTTAGCTTTCATAATATCATTTTTAATCTGTCTGTTGAGTGTATTGACAGTGCTCCAGTCATTTAAATGAAAGGCTGCGTGCCTTTCATTCATACTGTTTTTAATGTGAGAAGTAATCCAGGGCTTTGAGTTGGGATATTTCTTAAACGTTTTGGTAGGTATTGTAGATAAAATACAAAACTTAATATAGTCAGTGATTACTGAGACCTTGTTATCCAGGTCCCCTTGGAATACATCCCAATCAGTGCACGCCAGGCATCCCTGAAGCTGCGCAATTGCATCCTCCGACCACACGCTGGCGCTGTGGATGGTTGGCTTAGCGCGTTTCAGCCCCGTCAGGTAGTGCGGGATCAAAACAACAACATTGTGGTCGGAGAAGCCGAGTGGTGCATGCGCCCGAGCTACAAACGCATCAGAAATGTTCCCGTAACACAGATCCAGCGTGTTTTGCTTCCTCGTGGGAATATCCACATACTGGTGCAGTGATGGCATGACAGCGTCGAGTCTACAGTTGTTAAAATCACCCACAATAAACAGCGGAGCATCGGGATACCTGGCCATCATTGAGCTAGCATCCTCGGCTAGTAGCTCCGCTGCTGCCTTGATGTTAGCACTCGGGGGCACATAAACACAGCTGATCACCAAGCAGGGGAATTCCCGTGGGAGATAGAATGGTCTTAAGGACAAAGTCAGCAGTTCTAAATCCGGGGTGCAGATCGTGCGATGGATTTTGATGTTAACGCACCATCGCTTATTTACGAAGAGGCAAACTCCGCCACCTTTTCGCTTCCCGGACTTGCTGGTCCTGTCCGCCCGAAAGATGGTGAATTGATCGAGACTGACCTCAGAGTCCAAGATGGTCCCGTCCAGCGAGGTCTCGGTCAGGGCAATGACGCAGGCATCTCTGAAGGTCCGTTCAAATCGACATTTGGAGTGTAAAAGGTCCATTTTGTTGCGGAGGGAACGGACATTAGCCAGGATTATGGAGGGCAGAGGGGGTCTGAAGGGGCGCTTCCTCAACCGGGTACGAACCCCACCTCTTCTGCCCCGTTTCCGCGGTCGAAGTTCTGGGGGAAAATTTACTAGAGGCTTCTGGAGACTTAAGGAGGACAAGCGTAGTTGGAGCAGCTCGTCCCGGCTATAGGTGAGTGGCGCATAGCCGCTTATTCCCAGGTGTAGGGCCCCACAGTTCTTAGCGAGCCACAGTATTGACAATGTTAGTAGAATAATCTTGCTCAGGTTCAGCATGTTGCATACGTTTCTTTTTTTTACACACAGAAAGGATGAAAACTTAAAGACATGACAGACAAGTGACAGGCCGTGTCGTCGCAGCAGAGCATGCGCCGGAAATGAATGCGCATTAGGATTAACCACAAAATCCTCCTGGCCAAATTACACTCAATCAATTTCTCTCCCACTCATAAAATAGATTTAATCATATCTCTCACTTCGCTCGCAACAGGTCCGTATCCAATCTCACAAGTCTTCATCTCTCTGTCTCCCCACCGGTCTTCCTCAAGGGTCCACACTAGCTCCTCTACTTTTCTCCCTCTACATTAACGACCTCCCCTCTGTCTGCAACATTCCCATACTCATGTACGCCGATGACACAGTAATATTCACACATGGCAATAATGCTTCACAAGTTGCTGAAAAACTCCATGGCTAACATTTCATCCTGGCTCAATCACTCTTGTCTCAAACTAAATACTGTACATCCAAAACAGTTATGTTCTTCTCCAAATCTCAAAAATCTCTCACTTGCATAGAACCAGATGTATTAGTTTCAGGCAACAGGCTACAGATTGTCCCAGAATACAAATACCTCGGAGTAATAATTGACTTTCATTCAAAGTTCAAATAAAAATAAAAAAATAACATCCAATAAAATTAAATACAACCTTTGCAACTTCAAACACATCCGCCACCAAATGCCTACTCCAGCAGCAAAAATGTTTATGCACTCCATGATTCTGTCCCACATCACAAACCCACCTGGTCCCTAGCAAACACCACAGCTCTGAAACCCCTTCACTCACTCTACAAACGGACTGTAAAAACCCTGGACAAGAGTATGGGACTCTCACCATTGTCCCATACTACACAAACATAAACTTCTCACTCTAGAAAAAATGGTCAAGTTTTCCAATCTTTGTCTGGTCTATAAAATCCTTCATGGTCTTTCATCCCCACCTCTACCTCAGAAACAGCACCCACACCAGGACCAGGGGGGCAGTGAGAGGGGACTGTATCACCCCCCTCAGGAAAAGCACATTTGGTCAATCAGGGCCGTTTCAAGATATTTGGGGGCCCTAGGCAAAAGAGTGAAGTGAGGCCCCAAGTCTTTGCTCGGAATTTTTTTTTTAAATCAGATGGAATTTCTTGTATTCTGGTGCATTTTAAGAGTCATGAATTACTCTGTAGTACGCTACACAAAGTGGCCACTAGAGTGTAGTAAAGGGCGCAGTGTCTTCAATGAGGCATTGTTGATGGGAATGACACAATTTGATGAATGTTTATTTGGTCAACAAGGCAAAAACAAGGTAACAAGGTATGATTATTCATATTATCATTCTTAAGAACTGTCTTCTCTTTATGCTGAGCATTGTTTTTTTATCTAGAACTATACAAATGTTGAATTAAAAGAAAGGTATTAAAATGGTGTATAACACAAACTATTTTAACAATGTACAACCATCCATGTAGAATAACCATCCAAAATGAAGTTTAGCAACGCTTGCGGACTTTAGCTTGCACAAAAGCAGTGACCAAATTGTCCATGTTCAATGATCTCCTTGTGTTGCGTTCTATTGATATAAGTGCCAGTCCTCTCAGTCTTTCTTGGCTCATGGATGATCTGAGGTAAGACTTTATCAGTTTTAAAGCTGAAAAGCTTCTCTCTCCAGAAGCTACAGTGACAGGAAGTGTCAGAAGGAGACGTAGTGCTATGCTGAGATTGCAGTACAAATCCAGCATGTCCTCACTGTAAATGTAATTCAGCATGTCTTGTGGGCATGCAGAGACATCATCAGGAAAGGTATGGATGGCTGATCTGACCTCCAAAACTAAATCCTCTGCCTCAATGTCATGAAGCATCTTTTCTAAGGTTTTGCATTTCACTTGCAGTTTATTCTCTTTTACAGCTTGCCTCATATTGTCTTTGGAAAATAGAAAACTGTACAGTGCATACACATCTTCCATTTTTGAGAAGCGGTCATTGAGACTTCTAAGTGCAGTGTCTACTAAAGGAAGAAAGAATTCCCTTCTGAATGCCTGTTCTGGACTGTGTAGAGTTTCTTCTGCTGCTGAGTCACAGTCAAAATGCTTTGGTGTTCTTTTCTGTCTCTTTGCAGGAAGTATTTTTTCAATCTTCAGTTCCTCTGCAATGTCCATTGCAGAGGATTGACAGCAAGACAACCCACTTTCTCTAAATTGCAAAAGATAAACTCTCACACCTTCTGTTTCTTTTCTGAGTGTTTCCAGAGAAACATTTGGACTCTGCAGAAGTTTACTCATGTGGTTTATCTGGTACAAAATATTGTACCAGATAATGGTGCATAAAAGGAAACGCCATGTGTTCATTTCACTGTGCAGACTTTTGGCAGTGGACAATGTCTCAGCATCCCTCTTTTCAACAGCAAAAGTCTGAAGTGCAGACAGTGCTTCCAAAACCTCCAGTAGGTGGTAACGCAACACTTTAACACTGTCTATTCGAGCTTCCCACCTGGTTGCTGACAACATTTTTAAAGTCAACTGCGTGACATGTTGCTTGAGAACAGCCCACCGTTGCACTGAAGAGCTGAACAGATTGTAGAGTCGTTGGAGCAAACCAAAAAAGGACATAGACATAACAGATGATTTTGCTGCATCTGAAACAACAAGATTTAGTGTGTGACTGCTGCAGGGCACACACAGAGCTTTGCTGTTCATTTGCAAAATTCTGGCCTGCACACCTTGTTTGTGGCCCATCATATTACTACCATTGTCATATGATTGGCCGCGACAGTCAGAAATGTTGAGCCCATGTTGCTGAAGAAAGCCTACTAGAGTCTCTGTTAGCCCTCTGCCGGTTGTGTCCTTAACATCAAAAAAGCCAACAAAATGCTCCAATATAGCTGCTCCAACAGATGTTTCACAGTTCACTATTCTAAGCACCAATGACAGCTGTTCCTTGTGTGACAGGTCTGGTGTGCAGTCCATTATGACGGAGTAGTACTTGGCCTGTTTAACTCTTCGCATTATTTCCTCAATGATTTTCTCGCCTACCAAATTTATAATCTCATTTTGAATAGTTGGACTTAGATAGTGTACTTTCATCTCTTTGTTTTTAATTCTTTTCAAATGTTCATTGAGCACATAATCAAACTGACCCATAAGTTCAACCAGTGATAGAAAATTCCCATTGTGATCATCAAATGGTACATTAGATGTACCCCTGAGGGCTTGGTTTTGTTCAGCCAGGTGACAGATAATGGCTATGACTCTGTGTATAACTGCTTTCCGGTGTTCAATTTCAAGTTGCATGAGATTTTGGTAGGTTTGGTCAATGGCAGTTTGAGTTAGCAATATTTTTTGTAGCTCATGCCACTTTTTCATTGACTCTGAGTGTGCTTTTGTGTATTCGTGTTCTTTAAGGTGATGTGCAAGGTTCTTCCATGCACAATAACCATGGGTGCTTAGAGCGTTATCTCTCTTACTAAACAGTAAACAGGAAAAACAAAATACAGCATCAGTGCTCACAGAATACAGAAGCCATGACCTCTGGATTTTTTCCCCATTTTTCATCATTATCTTATAGTTGTCTTTTGTGAACCTTCTTGGTGGAACTTCAGTGTTTTTAGGAAAATCAAAGTCCACAATTTGAACTGGTCCATTTCTAACAATTTGACAACGAGTTTCTTCATTCATTACATCTGGCCACAACCCAGGATCATCACTGAGGGTTGCAGTAAGTGCAGCCTCTTCAGATTCAGGAGGAAAAGAAGTATCTTTTTCTGAAGAAGTAGAGGAGCTTTCTACAGCTGGAGTGGTGGAGGTGGAGGTAGTAAGAAGCAGTGGGGTCAGTCTCAAACTGAGATGACGATTGACGGCTCCTGGCTGGGTCCCGAGAGTTGACTTCTGCAGTTCCATCACAGCCTAAAAAAACAGCATATTCTTTATTATTATTCTACTACTACCACCACTACAAATAATAATAAGATAAACAATTAAAACTATTAGGTTAGATTATATTCCATGTAATGCGCACCTTCATATTCAGGAGGAGTAGAGGAATCTTTTGCTGGAGAAGTAGAGGAGCTGTCTTCGGCTGGAGTGGTGGAGGTGGAGGTAGTATGAAGCAGTGGGGTGCAGTCAGTCTCAAACTGAGATGATGATTGACTGCTCCTGGGTGGGTCTCGAGAGTTGACTTCTGAAGTTCCATCACAGCCTAATAGAATTAGTTAAATACATATTTTTTAATAGTAATACTAATAATATTATTATTAATAATTATTATTATTACTTCTGTATTATTATTATTATTGTTGTTATTATTATTTTAATATAAGTAATTAAAAATAATTATTTTAGATGTAACACATACCTTTAGCTTGTGAAGAGGTGGCATTCTCAATTGGCAGAGACAGAAATTTAAGCAAAGCACCTAATAAAGCAAAACATTTGGTGAATATGCATACGTTTATTGTTATTTTCATAGCATATCATGAAAGTTAAGTGTGGAGGATTCAATATCTACTTTACAGGAAAAGAACTTCACTTCCCATAATGCAACACAGAGCGTCATACGCAAAACTACCTGCTACGTGCGGTAAAGTGTTGAGATGTGTGGATGGACAAACGCGAAGGAAAAAGGACTTTTTTCTCCAGATGGAATAGAAATATCACCAACGGAAATTGATGGCCTGCGTACACCTAAAATGTAACCGGACTTGAGTAATTATTTAGCTTGGACCTAACTGCATGGGAGTCATAGGACCAGCTCATTTTGTTTGGAATTGACCGTTTTTACCGTGACAGCAGCCGCCGCGGGCAGACAGCAGTCGTCAAGAGTAAGTGACAACACTTATCTAGCTTTTGCCTTTACATGGCAAAAAAAATCTCCTTACGCTGTCGTAATCTGGGCTCGTGCATCAAGAGGATTTAGCTCAAAAGGAAGTTTTCGAACGCTGTAGTTACAACAGTAGTGAAGGGGCGAAAAGTTGTCTAGTATGTATTTTATGCTTAAATTCTGCAAACGGACCAAAGTTGTGTATGACTATAGTTTAACTTTTTCACCCTCTAACAACGCTCACATCTACCGTTGTGTTTGGTCACTGATGTCAAGGTTTATGTTCGCAGAGATGTGAAAACACGTCAGACAGTTGTATTTGGAGATAATAATGGTTTACTTACCGCTGTGTCTTTGGCGTTTTTCCTCGTCTTCTTTCTTTCTTTGTCTTTTAAAAAATCCTGAAGGGTATGATCGCTTCATGATATTTTAAAATTTAAATGCCCGCGTAGCGCTTGTGACGCTTTCGCTTCCAATGACAGCTAGTGGGGGACCTCATGGGGGGAGCGCGACGGTGGATGTCACTTCAACATTACAGTGATTAGAGCGCTCACAGGGAATCCCTCTAGTTTGGGGGGCCCCTCTCACGGAGCAGTACTGGAAAGTGATAGCGCTGTCTCATTGCGGTGGTTTATTTACGGTGGTTGATACTGTTTGACGAGCACAGATACACAACCTAAACTTCCGTGCGGCCATCGGGGGCCCCCTTCAGCTGGGGGCCCTAGGCAGCTGCCTACCTTGCCTACCCCATTGCGACGGCTCTGTGGTCAATCTTTCATTCTCCGTCCGTGCCATCTCAGATTCGAACCTCCTACCCACAACCATCAGAAATGCACCCTCTTACCTCACATACAAAACACTGGCTCATTGATATTCAAACCTGTCAGCACTGACTTCGCCTGCTCTCGCTGCCGCCTGCTGACCGTTTGCACTTTGTCCGTCTGTGTGTGTTCTGTGTGTGTCTCCTTATGTTTGTATCGTTTGTTGAATGATGTGTGACTGAATGTTTTCTTGTCTTGTCCTTGTAAATACTGTAAATAGATCACCTTATTCTTACTGTCTATGTAGCAAATATTTTTATCTTTCAAGAGACACGGAACTACGGATGAAAAATAGCTGCTTGGCTAATTCAGGCATATTTACATAAATGTTCATTAATATGTACTGCCCCTGTAATAAATGAGTAAATAAATAAATGATCTCTACTACTACTACTTCTACTACGGGTTAAGCAAGGCAGAGGGCCAAATAAAATTACACTGAGGGCCGCAATTGGCCCCCGGCCCTGAGTTTGGACATGCCTGTTATAGGCAATATATGTGTGGGTGAGTCATGTGTAGAGACTCACCTCTCGCGGACCAACTCAGCAAACTCCTTGGCTGCCAGCTGGCCATGCTTCATGTTGTGGTAGAGGACGTCAAAGCCAGCATTTTTTTCCCCCTGTGAAAGTGGAATATGACTATAACAAAACATAACAAATTACCCATTATTCCCCTTTTCATGGCTTTATAGGGATCTCCCAGTCACTTGACCCATAGCCGCGTGTCAGCCATTTTGACGGAATCCGTCTGCCGGCTCCGCAGCAATGGAGCTAAACTAGAGTGTTAGTATTAGATAGCAATATGGCCTACGTGCAGGACTCTACAAGGACTCTGATTATTTTGACTATGATGTGCAATGTCTCTGTGTGACACGTACGTCTTTCGATGTGTGACGTGACAATGACTATATAAACTGTGTACTGACTCCATTCTGTCTGAGAGAAAGAAACGATGGAAACCACTGGAACTTGAGAGAAACTTAAATAAACTTCCAGAGTTTGGCGCACCACGATCCGTCTGCTTCATTCCTGACAGATTTGGTGGAGGATGTGCGGCTCAGTGCGCACCATTCTCTGAGACAGAATGGAGTCAGTACACAGTTTACAGTAGGTCCCATTTCGTTTTGTCGTCTTCATTCACGCTTTTCATGAATCACGCAGCTGCGTGAAACATATTACATCCTATCGCCACTAGGTGGCAGGTTAAGTCCGCTTTAGCTCTGCCAGCGACTTAAACGCTCAGGTATAAGACTGCGTGCAAACCTGTTTTGCCTAGTGACGCACACATGTGGCGCAGAACTAAAAAAGGTCTTGTTATGACTCTCAAATCGTTAATGACAAAACAAAGACTAAAACGAGGATTTATATCGGGATGCCTTTGAACAATTGAGACAGCTGATAAAAGTTCACGTGTGATGCAGAATTTTCTAGTTTGAGTCCGTTCTTCACAGTGTCTCTGCTCGTGTGAATCCGTGGCCTAGTGGTCTAAGCTGTGCGCTTACAATGTAGGAACCCGGGTTCGATCCCGGGCTATGTCTTTTTGTATTTATTGCATGTTATCACATTCTATGACAGATTGCTCTAAAAACGGTAAAAGATGACGGTCAAGACGTTTTTTTGCAGATTATAGCTTAATTCTAAAAATAATCATTTAAGACCACATGTACCCCAATTAAAATAATGTTAATCTCTTTTTGATGTGGAACTTTTACATGTTTGTCTAAAAAATAGGGAATAAATAAAATTGAAAGGTGATATCCTCTTGAGCAAACCCTGATGTTGATACGCTGAAGAAATACGTTCCAACATCCATTCTTCCCACTCCTATTTTGGACATCAATTGCTTATTTATTTTGCATAAACTATGTATAATTACATTGCTTTTATTTTAGCGTCCGCCAAAGCTATTTTCTCACGGACATCTCTGATGTTCATATATTACAGCATTTTCCCGCAGCATAAAACAAACATATAGATAGACAGAATGCTGCGCATGCGCAGGGCTTGGTAACGACACACACACGCACACACATGCGCGCGCGCTACTGGGGGAAGCAAAAGCATGGCAGAGAGCCCAGGAGCCGCCGCGGTGGAGGAGGACCATGATAAGGACTGTTTTCAGATGCCTACTCTTTGTTGTTTTTGGTGTTTTGGGCTATTGTTCAATAATTATCTAAAAAAATTTAACCTTTATCTGACTGACTCAAATAAGAAGATAAGCTTTATTAATCTCACACAGGAGACATTTACATGTCACATTTGGCATGGATAAAACACTCAAGAATTGTGCAAAAAATAAGAAATGAGAAAACATGTTAATGCAGGAAAATATAAAATTGCATGAACTGCAGTTTGTTTAATTGAAAATAGCTTCTATATAGCAAGCTACTTTTGACAGAATTTTGTAACTTAGCTTGCTACATTTGTATGGGTGGTAGCTTCTGTGTAGTGAAGCTGAATTTATTGTAGAGTAGCTTGTAGCTTAGCTCACTACACAAATCAAGTAGCTTGCCCATCACTGCAATCACTGCATGAAAAGTGTGATTTTTGTCTCTTTTCGGCCCTGTTTATTACTGTGAAACTTCTGGGATTCGGCTGTTGACGGTAGTTTGTTGTCCCCTCCTCCCTCCTCCACAGGAGGCTTTAACATGTAAATGGCAATGCTGTGAGCTATACAAATGCTAATCAGGGTTGAGGGGGTGCACAATGCTCAACTTTGCTCAATGCTGTACACTGAATTAACTCATCTGGAATTATGTACATACCTAAAAGAAAAAGTATATCGACATGACAAACATTATTTGAGTTTATATTTACATAAACTAAAAGGCTCTAGCTTTAAAATGATGCATCACACAAGCATGTGAGATGTAAGATGTGTTTTTAAATAAGCAAAGACATTTGGGTATGCCCAACTTTTGTGCACCCTCATTTTGGCTTCTAGTTTATGAAAATATATACTAAAATAATGTATGTCATTCCTATTTCACTCTGCATCCTTTGAAGTTTGGGGAAAAATACAATTTTTGTAGCCTCGCCTAAAATGTTCAATTTCTAAAGGCCCTAAAAAAGGCATACTTCATTGTAAGTTCACAATATTCAAACCCTAAACTTCTAAGTTTAATGGTTTTTTGCAGTTTCTCCTTTTCATCAAGTTGTGCCAAATTGCTTTACTGACATTTCATCATCATATACTTATAAGTTACTAATCTGTGATTTTTTTAAAACATTTTTTTTAAAATAATTTGTGTATGAGTGTAAAATCATTGCTGCTCAGTCAGCGCCGGTCTCCAGGTCATTACCAAGCCCCGGCGATCCAAGATGGCGCCCTATTCAAATTAATGGTTGTGCTCAGTGGCGCTTTGTGACGGCATGGGGGCTGAAAGATTAGCGGAAGTCGCCTGGAACTCGCAAAGATCTATGGGAAACTCGCAAAGATCTATGGGAAACTCGCCTGTATTTGGGCATCGTCTGGTCCTCCCGGTTCTGCGCAGTGGATGATCTCCCACAATGCGTTGTGCCCAGTGGGGGAGGGTCCCAGCTCAAAAGTGGCCAAAATGACGTGCGCCTACATGCTTGCAATACCACCCCGGGCCGATGTGGGTGGACCCAGAAGTAGAATTACCAATGCTAACATATACCATTGGCAGACCTCTCAAAAACGTCTTTACAGGATGGACCAAAAGTTGGCTCTTGGTCCAAAGCTCCGTTCCACATGTGTGTCAATGCTGAGGGGGGTGGATTTTTTTGGTCCACTCTATTTTACTTGCTGTGAATTTTTTCAGTCTCTCGTTCAAATGAATGGAGTTGCGCCGGCTGACGCATGCGCAGATGCGTTTTTTCACAATTTTCTTGTGGGCGGGACCACTCGCGGCCATTTTGTATTGCTCCAGTAGAGCACATTTTTTGGCCCATTCGTTAGAACGGCGGAGATAGGCGTGACTCTGTCCGTTAATATATACAGTCTATGGTTGCGCCAAACACGCATGTGTGGGTCTCACACCGGGTCTCACGCACGTGCACAGAGGGGCTCGGCCGCGCTCTGACCAATCAAAGCAGTTCATCAGAGCGGGAGTTAGAGCCAGAGCCAGACGAGCAGAGTTTGTGGCAGTAAAGTGTGGATTTAAACAAAACCGAAGGATTTAAGAAGAAAAAAAGTTCAGGATGACAAGGGACACTAAAATCCCCACAAAAGCCGACCTTTATGAAAGCTGTAGGTTCTCTGTCAGCTGAGGTTGAGCTGTTTTAATATGCATTGAGTCCTATGGGGAAAATTTCAGTCTGCAGTACCGCGAGAATCCCCCGAGCACATGAGCGATTCAGCTACAAGCTAGTAATATCCTATCCAGTTCTACGTCATGGTGCTACGTCCCTTAGCGGACTTCGCTAGTGGGATATCACGTGACCCCCAGGTCACAGACGCCAGAGAGATCAAACAAAAAATGCTCCAATCACTAGCGACCCTCCTCTATAAAGCCTTCAACTGAGACAACCCAACAGAGTATACATATGTCCCACCCCTTAATAGAAAGCTTTCCTCATTGGCTACACGGACATGTCAATCTTTCAACCAGGAAGTAGATGCAAACCAGTCTAAAGGGCTCGACACACGGGAGGCGACATCGCATCGCCTCCATTCATTTTCAATGGGACGTGCGCGACATAGCGTCAATCGCTAGCGAGCCTCCTGCTCAGCGACGGGCGAAAAACGTGCGTGTGAAATCCTCCCGCTCGTGCATGTATCGTGCACGCGCGGGTCAGCGACGCGATCCCAGAAAGTTGAAATCGGCTCAACTTTTTGACGCTGTCGTCAAGCCGCATCGCGCCCCGTCTGTCATGTTATCTGAGCGACAGCGTTGAGTTTCGCTGATCGCTCTCATTTGTCGCCTCCCGTGTGTCGAGCCCTTAATGACAACAAATGTGAAGTGACCCCATGCGCAAAACGCAGCCGCTTGTCCAACTCACGGGAGATTTTGCGGACCCCATTTGAAAGATAAGGAGTAGCTGAACACGTGGATACCAGATGTTTGGGTGAAAAACAAAGCAAAAAGTCCGTAAACAGTGAAAGAACAGCCTCTGTGCTCTTTTTTTTCGCTAAAGATAAATGCACATTTTTGGATTATTTCTCCAGAATGGATTATACTTTGGGAAATACAAGTGGATATTATTGTTAAATGGACTGTTCCAGAGAAAAAGAGCCATAGGAAGCCTGGAGGAGAGCGGATTTATTTATGCAGTACAAGCCCAAAGGTAAAAAACTTTTTCCTTAGCCACTTATTTTGTGCCCACATTATGTGTTATATCTTTTGAATGCAAAGTCTGATGTGGTTTACACTTGTATATAAATGTAGATAAGAAATTAAGCTTTAAAATGATATACAGCTTTTGTTCAAAATACATCTGCTATTCCCAGCAGAACATTTTAAAAATAAAAACGGCTCGCCGGTGGATGTAAAGAGGTTAAAGATCAACTAAACACCAGTGCCCCGCCTGACTCCGCCCACATGAACATTTGAAAATTCTCCCCAAAATGGGCGTTGCCCAGGAGGACCAAGGGCTTAGTGTTGGGCGTGGCCTGGGC